ATCCTCAGATCTGTGGAGAGTGCAGAGGAGTAAATCAGAGTCAGCCCTCTCGCCCTTCATCTGGGCCATTTGTCTCACCCTTGGTTAGGACTAAACTTTTTTTTTTTTTTAAGACTGGGTCTCCCTGTGTCACCCAGGCTGGAGTGCAGTGGTGTCATCGTAACTCACTGCAACCTTGGACTCCTGGGCTCAAGCGATCCTCCTGCTTCAGCGTCCTGAGTAGCTGGGACTATAAGACGGCTAATTTTGGACATTTTTTAGTAGAGACAGGGTCTCACTATGTTGCCCAGGCTGATCTCAAACTTCTGGCCTCAAGTGATCCTTCCACCTTGGCCTCCAAAAGCACTGGGATTATAGGTGTGAGCCACTGCACCCGGCCAACAAAACCTTTTGATTCTTGAATGTGAACTGAGGGAGAAGGGGATGGAAGGAAAGCCCCAGACCATCTCTGCATCAGCCTTTGGTGTAGAGTTAATTGTTAGGCTTTGGCAGGAGAGAGACCTGCATTTCCTTTTAGCTGTAACTCCATGGCCTTGGGCTTGTTTCTAAACCTCTTTGTGACTGAGTGTCCCCATATGGTCAGTGCTTGTTAGCATAGCCTGTGGTCCAAGGAACTGGGTAAACACCAACTATCATTACTAATGAGGACAGTAAGTGTCAGTGTGACAACAGACACCTTGAGAAGTATAATATGAACCAGTACAAGTGACCTAGGTTTTGCAAAGTTCAAATTCTGGCCTGTCCTTGTGCTGTCATTAACACAGTGTCAGGGAGGTTTCCGCTGGTCAGTAATAATGTTGAACAGGAAGTATTGGGAAATGTAACAGCTGACATTTATTGAGTGGCCTGCACTCACCGGCTGGGTATGCAGAGCTGGGTGTCCCCAACACGTTATTTAGCCACTCTATGCCTCCCTCCTGCATCCCTGTCTCAGACTGTTGTGAGAATTCAATGAATCCGTCCATGTAATGTGCTTAGAACAGAGCCTGGCGCGGAGTGAGTGCGCAAGGGCAGCATGCTAGTGCTAGGAAAGTGAGGCTTCCTGCTTAAAGATGAGCAGACTGAGTGTCCTGTCCTTACACCTGTCTGACTCCCACCCTGGCTTCAGTTGCAGCGTTTGAGCCTGCGAGTCAAGTGCAGCCTGCTCTGGCTGTTGGGAGAGTGTAGGTTTGTCCAGCAGCCCTGGGCCTCTGCGATCACACAGGGCCACGCTGCATCCTGCAGCAGAGGACTCTGAAGGCCAGAGAGGCTGAGCAGCCCCCAACACGGGGTGGGAGACAGTGGGTTGAAGAAATGGCTTTGTAACCGCAAGTTATGGTGCAGTCCTGGAGGGGTGTGCAGAGGGTTCTGGGGGCAGAGGTGAGCTGAGGGAGCCGTTACTTCTCCATGTTTGGGAGGGATGAGTTGAGAAGTGTGAACAAGGATTGAACTCTGGGACTCACACTAGTTCTGGGAGGTATAGGGAAGAGTTCATAGCATCCTCATTTTAAGAATGGGGAAACTGAGGCACTGCCCAGTTAAGTGATTTCCTCCAGCTCAGAAACAGCCGAGCTGGGATGGGTTTCCAGGCATGTCTGCCTCGCCACCCCCTCCCTGGTGCTGGGAGGGGATAGTGTCAGGGCTGAGCTCAGCTTGGTCACTGTGCTGGGCACGATTGGGTTAATCTCTTTGGAAGTCAAAGATGACTCTTGGGCCACTGGGGTTTGCAGGCCTTTGTCCCATCTCCTTGCAGCCCTGCCCCCTCTCCAGTGGGCCTCGCTGCCTTAGTCCCCGAGGGAAACAGTGGCCCCTTGTTCTCTCTGAATTCTGAACTCCGAGCGCTGCACAGCGCAGCATCCAGCACGGGCCTCGCAGGATGGCGTGACTTGGAAGCAGAGTGCCCGAAGACCTCCTCGGCCACAGTGGGCGGCTCTTTCATGGAGACAGCCTTGCTGCTGCTGGGAGGGACAAATCACACCCCTTCAAGAAGTCCCTGGGAATGTTCTGTGGTCTGAAAAACAGAACGACAACCTTGAAATGAGTTCACTTTTGCCCAAGTCCCTGTCCCCGTGCCATCCGGGAGACCATGCCTCTGTGGCATCCCCCCTTCCACTGTCTCCCTGTGTTCCCTCTCCTGCAGAGTCCCCTCTTCTCAGGTTCCCTGTGTCAGGTGCTGGGCCCTTTCTGCCGTGATGCCCTTGTGGGGGCCATACCAGAGGCCCGTCTCCTCCTCTGCAGCCAGTAGGGGAGACTGAAGCCCCTTTGAGGTGAGTTTAGGGGGGCTGGCCCCTTCAGGACGGCCAAGGATCATCTGGCCACTTGAGAAAAAGTGGTGTCAGAAGAGCCTTTAGAGCCACCAGCAGCCCCGCTCTCACCCGGCACAGATGCTGCGGCAAGGGGCGGCCGTGCCGGAGAGCAGCCGGCCTGGTGTGTACCCAAGCTGCTGTGCTCGCGCAAGGGCTTTACTGGCATAAAAATGCTGGAAAATACACAAAGGAAGGTGGCCCGTTTCCAGAACTCCACTGTTTACCTTCAGCAGAGCGGCTGGGGACGAGCAGAGCTTATTTTCTAAATAGCCCACGGTTGTCAGGCTACAGGCCTCAGGCCAGTGCCCGGCAAGGGCACCAGGGCATCCCCTCTGCCCACCTCCTTCCCCAGTCCCAGGGGGGACCACAGCTCCTCGTGCTGATTTCAGTCACTGCAGGAGCCCTGGAGGGCTCCCTGGAGGTGTGGGTTTCCGTGGCAGGGGGCATTGCCCCTGTGCCTCAGTTCTCTCCCTTTGTGGCTGTCTCGGTATGAAAACGCTGGCCTCTTGTATGTGGAGCCTGTCACCGGAGTCCTGGCTTTCAGCAGGGATGGCTGGCATGTGCAGCTTCATTTGGGAGCCTGCTGTTCCACGTCACCCCTTCCCGCTGGCTTCTCTCCCTGCCTTCCAAGTTTAGCCTTTTCTGGGAAGAGGGGTTGGATGGGAATGTAATATGGAATCTGTGACTACAGCCAGAGAGGCCCTTGCAGTTTCCTCTTTTTACCAGAGGGGAAACTGAGGCCTAGGGGAAGGATGAGCCCAGGTCAGCAGGTAGCTCAGCAGGGGGGTGACACGTAGGTGTTGCTACCTGGCTTCCGTCTGGGCCCCAGCTGGTAGAACCCCTGGCGGCATGGCCTTCCTTGGCCATTGTCCTTCCTGGCTGGTGGTATCCTGGTCTGTTTGGGGGGAGGGTCACCCCCAGCTCTGGACCTGCCTGGAGGAGAAACAGGGCCCAGGTCTCGGGAGATGCCTGCGAGTAAGTGCTCCTTCCCTGTCCTCGTCCAGGAGGTGGCAGCTTCCCAGCCGGCCTGGTCCTGGGTTGGTTTGGTTTTGCACATAGGCCAGTCACCATGGGGAGGGAAGACCATGCTTTAGCATTTTCCTTTTGTGAGGTCTAAGGGATTTTTTTTCTCTGTAGGGGAGATCCTTTAACATCTTTCCTGGCAGACAATAAGAGAAGTTAAGGACATCGGTAGGACAGGGCTGACACATCCCAGAGACTTCACTGGAAGAGTTTAATGAGGGAACGTACAGGGTGTGGGCAGGGCCTGAGGAGGCAGCAAGAGACAAAGTACCCCGGCGCCAACAAGTGTGGCGAGCTGTCACCACCCCTAGGCCTGGGAAGTGGAGGGGACCCAAAATGTAACTGGATCTGTAGAGATGGTGGAGGGGGAGTGTGAGAATAGCTGGGGCACACACCCTGGCCTCTCTTTTCTGCTCCCGCCTTCTGCTGGGGCCTCCACGTGGCCCGACCTGACCAGAGGACAGGGCAGCGGGGTGATGTGGCCCTAGAAGCCAGCCTCCCGGGGCAGAGCAGGGGGGCGCAGGGAGGGACTGGGTGCCAGGCACAGCTTTAGGTCTGAGTTTGTGTCCTGGCTCCACCGCCTTCCCGCTGTGAGATCCTACGCAGGTTTTAAAAGTCTCTTGTTTTCCACTTTCCTCATTTGTCAAATCACCTCCTGTAGTGGTCGTTAAATATAATGAAACAAACACACGTAAGCTTTGAGCACAGTGCCTCTTTCAAGTGGTCGATTATAGCTGTCGTTGTGATGTCTTTAGTAACGACTTTGAAATAGCCTTCAATCCTGGAGGGAGCCCTGCTTGGAGGGGGCTGGAGGCCGCCTCCTGCCTCTGCTGAGGCCCGGCATGGGGTCAGCCGGGTGCCAGGCTGGCGCCGCTGCCTCTGAGGAACTGGCCCGGCAGGTGGCGGTGGCCGTGTGCCGGGCGGCAGACATCTGGCGAGTCAGGAAGCATGGTGTCATGCTGCCCGGCTCTTGGCAGGTGCTCCTGTCTTGGGGTCAGGTGATGGTGACTGTCTGTCAGCCAGAGGCTCTGGCTCCCTTGGGGCCTGATCTTCCCAACCTTGTGTGCTTGAAAAAACAAACACATTCCCACTGGCGCAGGGGTGCAGTGCTTAGCGGGTCACAGGCAGCCCCGCGCTGTGCCGGCGAGCCCAGGTTATGTGAAGTGCAAGCTGCTGGGCTGTCGCAGCAGCAACCCTTAGATTCGCCAGCGCTACCGCTTTGTGAGACTTTTTGCGCTTTAGTGGAAAGAGTATCTGCATAGGTCTCAGTTCTCATCTGGCTGTGTGACATTAGTGGTTTTACTTAACCTCTCTGAGCCCTAGTTTCCCTAGGCCGTTGGGCAGATAGGACATGTTCAGTAAATCCTTTCCCTATAAAGTCATTTCTCAGCATCACTTGTGTGGGTTGTCACCTTTTGTGTGTCTTCTGCGTCCTGGGTAGCTAGGGGCTTGGGGAGCAGAAGTATGAACGTGGGGCCTGCCCCTGGGGACTTAGCAGGAGAGACGAGTTGTGGGGTCTGAGAGGGCTCGTCCTGTTCGTCCCGTCTGTATTTCTCGTGCGTGTCAGCTGCCTCCTGTCCCCCGTGGTGCTACATGGAGGCTCGTGGGTCCTATGGTGATGTGCCTGGGGTGGCCAGTAGCTTGGGGGCCTAGGCGCTGAATTGTCACTTTTGTCTGTGTCCCACCTGGCAGCTGAACCTCAGCCGGCCCATCGAGGAGCAGGGCCCCCTGGACGTCATCATCCACAAGCTGACCGATGTCATCCTTGAAGCCGACCAGAACGACAGCCAGTCCCTGGAGCTGGTGCACAGGTTCCAGGTGAGCGGGGACGGCTCTCGGCGTGGGACCCGAGGCGGGTGGAGGGTGGGGGGCAGGCCCAGGAACGGCGAGTGTGTGTTGGGAGCTGTAGGGCCGACTCGAGGTGTCGTCCGCAGACGTGGGCTCCTGTGCAGACCCTTCCCGTGGCCTCAGTCTCCTTGAGCGTAGCGTGGGGGCTCAACCAGGGTGTGGTTGGCACCCCCAGCCACCCGGCTGTGTAGACATGGTTCCCTGCTCAGCATTGGCGGGGGGGCGCAGGATGTGACAGGCCTCCGTGTCCTTAGCATAGGCACACGCGGACCTGCCCTGCTGCTCTGAGTTGGCACAAGGGATGGAACCCCTCTGCTGCACTTGGGGAAGGAGGACCCCCAAAGGCCTTTGACCTGAGTCCTGCCCTGGTGGAGACCCGTTTCTGCTCGCTACCCTGACCCTGTGTGCTCTTAGCGCACAGCTGGGGTGTCTCACTGAGTCCCGCTTCCCAGCAGCCTCCCAGGCCCTGACCTCGTGGCTCCCCACCCGCTGCCTCGGGGTTTGCATATCAGCTGCCTACTCGCTCTGTGTTTTCTCCCTTGTGGACAGGGACGTGATTCTTTCCTCTGGAAAGTGGCTCGAAGGTCATGAAAAACAAAGTCATATTGTCAATGAAAAATGCAGCTGAACTAGTGGCTGTTCTCAGGCCCGCCTGGTGGGATGGGGGCTGCTTGAGCCGGCACTTTCCTGTGTGTGGTAACTGCAGAGTTGACATCCTGCTTTTTTTTGTAAGGACGAAGGGGCTCTCGTCCTCCTGGTCACACAGTGCCATCCTGCCAACAGCGTTCCCCCGACATGTTCGGCCCCCCCGGCCTCCCACACTTCCCTGGGTTCCCACCGGGTCGCTCGGCCAACTCCCTGCTGCAGGTCCCTGCTTCCCACCTGGAAGTGGCCCCAGAGGCAGGTGCAGCCTGCTCTGACCTCCCCTGCTGGTGGGCGGAGGAGGTGTCCCCATGTCATGCCCTCCGGGGCCTCTCCCCTGCCAGCGGCTTGAAGCCCTGTCCACTGCTGGGCAGTGCCTCCTTCCACAGGGCTGGTGGCCATGGAAAGGCGTGCATGGCCAGGCTCCTCTGTGACCTTGTGGAACCTCAGTTTTCTTGTTTGTGAAATGGATGCTGGTACTAGGAAAACCTCGGACCCCACTGGGAGGAGTAAGCTGAGGTTAGAGCAGGGAACCAGACAGGAAACGCACTCTTATCAAGCCCTGCCCAGGACCAGGACTGGGCTGATTACGTGCTCACCCATGGGCTGCATTCTGTCCCCACAACCCCTCAGGCCAGGACTCACTAGCCTTCTTTTATAACCCGGGAACAAAGGCTCAGAAGCCTGTCCACAGAGACCTGCAGAGCCAGGGTTCAGTCTTGCCTGTCTTGGGCAACCTGCTGCTCATTCCCGCAGCGGATGGCCCTTCTGGCTCCTCTCGGGCCATTGCCTACACCGCTGTCCTGAGGTCCTGCCCCAGCTGACCACAAGTACAGCAGCGACTTTCCACCCTGAGCCGTCGTCCATGCCTGCCTCATGCCCGATTCCCTGTCTCCTCCGGGCGGCCTCCAGATGCCTGCGGGTCCCCGGGGACATTCTCTGGGAAGCATAGCTAAGCTCGAGTGGTTCTTCTCCTGCTGAGTCCAGCGAGGGGCAAGTGGCCTTGCAGACGCTGTTGTGGGATGCATCTGGGAAGGCTGGGTGGTGTGCGGGGATAGCTGTTACCGCTACAGCAGAAGTCGTTTGCAGAGCAGTTTCTATGTCCCAGGCCCTGCTGGAAAGCACGGTATGAGTGCTGACTCACTTGCTCCCAGGAGCAATAAGGTGCGATTATTCCTGTTGTGCGGATGAGGAAACAGGTGCAAGCAGGTGGCAGCTTGCTCAGACTCAACTTGAAAGTGGTCGATGTGCATGTGCGCCTGCGAGAGCTTGCTCTCCCTGCCTGATGGATGACTCGGGAGGCAAACTGCCTGGAAGGCAGCAGCCCCTCCAAAACCGAGGAGCCATGTGATCTCCCTGAACTTTGGTGTCCTGTTACCGTGAGGGTGCTGGCAGTTCCTCCCCCTTCGGTGGGCAGATTGCTGGGAGGAGTAAACGGCCATGTGTGTAAAAGTGCCCGTTGCTTGCCAAGCACCTGCGGCCACTCCTGCTGCTGCTACCTCTTCCTAGAGAAAGGACCGCAGCTCCCCGCTGGCCTGGGCCGGGCGGTGGAACAACTACCCCTAAGGGGGATGACTCCCTCCCCCACCCCAGCCCCCGGATACACACACAGCCCACAGCCCAGGGCAGGTGATGGCTGAACGCAAATGAGAGCTCTGTTCCCTGTGTTCCTGTTCTGGGCAGAAAAGAATAATGTTAACAGAGCAGGAGAGAGTGCATGTCGGGGGACATGGGGATGTGTGGATTAAGGCTGCCAGTTGTGGGCAGGGTTTTGGCTTGGTCCCTGAGTCCATGCCATCCAGAGCACGCGCCCAGCCTGCCCTCAGCCAGGGGCAGGTGGGGGTATGGCTGCAGTGACCTCACAGTAACCTTCTAGTACCGGTTATTGTGGGGTAAATTTTCATTGCAGTCTGTGCTTCACTGAGAGGAGGGATATCTGATAAGGCCAGGAAGTTTCCTCCTTTGTGAAAAGAACAATCGTTTGGAGAAAAGGGTGCCAGGCTGCACTTTCCAGAGGCCCCAGGAAGAGAGGAGATAGGCAGGGGCCGGTGCAGGGAAGGACCGAGACACACAGAGGTGAGGGACACTGCCCTGTGCTGCCAGCGCTGACGAGCCAGTGCCCCTGCCACGAGATGGGAGAGATGCAAGTTCAGAGCCAGACCGCACAGCCCTGGAGAAGGGCTGACACCTGACCTCGGGCATGCCCTTTGTCTTCAGATGCTCGTTCTAATTTTTATTCTCCAGACTTTAGCTAGGGGACATGGGTGTGGCCCGGGGACTGGGCAGGGCAGGGCAGGGCAGGGGTGCTGCAGCCAGAGGCGGGAGGCAGAGCCGGGGCCTGGGCTCCCACATCTTGTGAGCAGTGGAGCAGAGGAGAGCTTTTGGCCCCAGAAGGGGCTCTGCTTGAAGGGCCTTCTCCAAAGGCAATGTTCGATCCCTAGAGGAAGTGTTTTGGGGCTGTGTGGGTGGAGAAAGTGAGTTTCTGAGCTGTCCCTGACGGCCCTAAAGCAGCGGCCCTGTGGGCTGCTTCTATAAGGAGCTCCAGCACCCGGAGGCTGTACTTCTGGCTGCCCTGGTGAGGCAGGGTGGGGGTGTGTGGGCCTGGGGCCTGTTGCAGAACATTAAAGCCCGTTGTCATAGAAACATTCACCATTACCCTAAGTTTGTTTGTGGGTTGTTGTTTTGTTTTTTTTTTTGGATGGGCCTCAGCATGGCTTGGCATGGAGACTCAGTTGGGATGATTCGTTGTTTTTTTTGTTCCAAGGTTCACACGGAGCCAGCAGCAGCCTGGTGCCGCCGCGGCTCCGTCTTAAGATTTCGGTTATCAGCGTACAGACCCTGCCCTCGTGGGAGATGTGCTCAGGGACCAAAGGGGCCTCTGGCCTGTCGAGTGGCTTCCTCAGGAGGGCAGTGCAAGCCTCCTCGCTGTGGCACAGGTTGGATGTGGCTGCGGGGTGGGGGGCGCTGGCCCTTCTCTGCTGCTGTTCCTGCCAGCCTCCAAATCACCCCAGAAGGGTTACAGTGATTGTGATCCATGGGGTGTGCGGAGCTGCCTCGGTGAATCTTCCTGGAGTTTCCCCGGAATGAACTTAGAACTAAGAAGGAGGTTTCAGTCTGCACTGTCTTGATTAGCCAGAGGGACCATAACTGTCCCCCAGATGCTCCCTGGACCCCCCCCCCCCCGCCCCATCTACATGTGTTCTGCAGGGCCAGCTCCATCTGCAGCAGCACACTGTTTGCTGGGCAGGTGCCCGGGGACTCCCAGCCAGCAGGGGCGGCTGGCGGGCAAAGCCAGAGCTGCCCTCCCAGCTGTGAGTGCTGAGTTAGGAAAAATGCAGATCCGATCAATGCAGGGCCTGGCGTGAAACCGTCCCACAATTTCTCATTGTAGTGACACTAAAGACTTAGATTGCTAACATGGCCCTTGGGGCCCCAGTGATCTGGCAGCTGCCCCTGCCCAGCCTCATTGTGCACCACCCGCCCCTTCCCTGCCACGTGCCCCCACCACTCCCCACAGCAGTTGCTCAGGCTCTGACTCATGTCCACCCCAGTGCCTTTGCACAAGCCGTTCCTTCAGCTCAGTGCCCCTTCCCCAAGGAGTGTCTTCCCTGATTATCTGACCTCTTGTCCTAAGCCCTCCTAGCTTTGTGATTTTCCTTCATGCCATTTGTCCTTTCATTGGGGCAGGGACTGCATCTGCTTCCAGTGGCTGGGGTCCCATTGCTGCCCACGGTGCCTAGTGCGTTGGAAACATGCCTAAGTGTGTGTTAGGTGGAAGCACATGCAGGGTGCTGGCCTGTGCCGGGCGAGCCTTGCACAGGATGCCCCAGTGGGCCAGTGGAGGGAGAAGGTGGCTCTGCTGGGCCGCTGGCTGCAGGGAGGGAGGGGGACAGGAGGGTTCGTGAGGCAGATGGCATTGCCTGGTAGGTGTGCGTGGCGATGTCTGCGGTGTCAGCAGGGTTGGAGAGGGGGTGGTGGGGCCAGAGGGCCAGGGCTTATGCACGCCAGGCTGTGGAGCTTGGACTTTGTCCTGCAGGGAGCGTGGGGAGTGGGGGATGTACGGGGGGTGTTAGATCAGATTTAATTGGCAAGAGCAAGGCCCTGTTTAGAAGGGGACTTGCTAATGCATGATGAACTCTGAGCAGGGTAGGGGGACACCCTTTAGTCATCATAGCCTGGGTGCTTCCAAGATGATGAGGTAGGTTATGATTTGGAGGCTCAGTGATGTCTCTGTGCTCAGCCCCAAGTGCCCTGTAGTCCTGAGCGTCCCCTCCCTTCCCTGCTGTGACAGGCTGGCCTCTGACCAGCTTGAGCCTCATCCAACCCAC